TTAAAAAAAAAAAAACACCCCAAAATAGATAAGCCTGTTGATTTTCCTAATATGTCAGTTTTGGCAAGTATACTAGTAGTTAATGAAAAACCCATTTAGAAGAATATTTTTCTACTTAACAGAATTGCTTGCTGTTATGATTGTGTCTAGTTGTCATTCCAAAGCCTCATGCAATCAGTGTGGGTGGGCTTCTGGAACAGACGACTAATTTATGGTCCAATGCTGGGACTAAGGGTGCAAGGGCTACATCTGCCCTAGAGGGCAGGTCTCCTGCATACAATGTAAGGGAGGGAAAGAGGCTTGTTCTTCCCTCCTCTCTTGTTGCTTTTGCTGTCTTCCACCACCATAAACACTTGCTCCTCTGCCCTGCCACCCTGCCTTAGAGCCAGCCAATTGTGGACTGAAACCTCTACAAACTAAATAAGCCAAATAAACCTTCCCTCTTTTTAATGATTTGTCTCAACAACAAGAGAAAAGGGAGACAATTTGGTTCTGTCATTGCTGTGTCTAAACCTGCCCATGTGGTCCAGGAGCTCTTGGGAAGGGCTTGAGGGAAGATTCTGGAATGACCTAGAGACACCACTGAAACAGCAGGGCTAGAATGCCGCAGGCTGTTCTGGATAGGAGATTCCGGTCAGAGCTCAGAAGAGTAGAAATTCGGTAAAGATGAGGCTCAGGAGGTTTCTGCTGGGAAGCATGACTATAATGGCTGTAAGACTCCTGAGGATGTATGCTATGGCTTGTCAAAAAGTTTGTCTGCATTTTGCTCACAGAGACTTTGCCTAAGACTGAGATTAAGGGTAGTGGACTAACTAATCTGGCAGAAGAAATTTTAAGGCAGTCAAATGTTGAGGCAGTGGCATGCTATGGTTTGGGCTTTTAGCCAGATCTATGTTGAGAATCTAGAGCAAAGAGCACAGCAGAATGATTTAAAACATTGTGAGTTTGGCCAGAAAGCAAGCTCCAATAAGCTGTGGACTGCAAAGATAGAGTACAAGAGATCCTGACTGCTAAGAAGCAGGAAAAATTGCAAAGATTGCCAGAGGTCATCAAAAATATCAGCAAGTCTCTACCCTTTGTAGCCTCAAAACTGCAAAAGTGAAAGAACTCACTCTGAGAAGAAAGTCCCAGAGCACCACATTACAGAACAGCAGCAGCACAGGGAATTTGTTCCTTGGGCTTGAATTCACAGTGCTCAGTGGTCCATGCACTTTAACCCTATAGCCAAGACACAAGGAAGCTGGGCTACTGCTCCAGCTGGTAGCACACCCTGGCAGCACCGAATTGGTGCCAGTTTTAAGTGCATACAGAATAGAAGAGTTATGGGTTCAGCAAGGCCGGACAGGCCAGGCAGTGTGCCTCTGACAGGCCAATGTGTGAAGCTGTGAGTGTGAAGCCAAAGGTTAAGTGGAGACTCCAGGAACACAGCCCACCCAATGGAAACTGCAGAAAGGCAGCGAATGGGCCCAAGAAAGAAGCTGTGGGAGCTACAGCCACAGAAGCTGTGAGCTCACATCTTGGCACACATGGTCTGGGATACTGCACACGGAACAAGAGCACTCAATGTTTGCCATTCTGGTTTTGTTGTTGTTATTTTGTTTTGTTTTTTTGTGGAACCGGGGATTGAACTCAGGCCCTTGTGCTCGCCAGGGAAGCACTTATTCTACTGAGCGATCTCCTTGGCCCCCCTATGCTATATTTTGGACTTGCTTTGGTCCCACTTCTTTGCATCCCCCTTCCTCCAACTCTTTTGGAACGCAAATGTGTATTTTATGCCATTGAATGCTGGAAATGTTCAACTTTCTTTTCACTTGTGCACAAGCTCACAGCTAAGAGTTTGCCTTAGATCTCAGAGGAGACTTGGGACTTGGACTTTTCAGCAATGCTGCTTTGCCAACTCTTCAAGATGGACTAAATGCGTTTTTCATAAAGGAATATATGTGAGTTTTTGGGGCACCGAGGCCAGAATATTAGGGTATCTCAATGTCACCCCAAAGCCTCATGCAGTCATGAGGGTGGGCTTCTAGAGTCTGTGACTGATTTATGGTCCTGGGGCTACATCCACCCTAAGGGCAGGTAGCTCGCATACAACATGAGGGAGGGAAAGAGGCTGTTCTCCCCACCTCTCGCTAGCCTTTAGCATCCTCCACCCCAGATGAATGTTTGCTCCTCTGCCACGCCACCTTGTTTTAGACCCAACCAGCTATGAATTCAAATCTCTACAAACCATGAGCTAAAGCTTTCATCCCCCTTAACTTGTAGGTGCTGGATATTTTGTCTCAGCAATAAGAGAAAAGTAATAAAGACAGTTACACTAGAACAAACAAATCCATAAATTCAAATGTCTTTGGACTTTAAAAAATGCCTCACCCATGCCAAAGATTTACATGAATATTGTTATACATTTTGGCATGCCTCAATTCATAGAGGGTTGTTTTCTAAAACCTTACTCTAAATTGGCTTCCTGGAACTCAGAGTACCTTTTCCCACTAAAATAATTTTATAAAGGGTATAGGACTTCAGGATCACCCCAAATAAATCTATAAAGGTCAAATTTATTGGACCGATTGTGTTTTGTTGAAATATTGTGGGTTGTCAAAAAAGGAGACTCCTTCCACACAGAAATGGGAATATAAATTAATAAAACCACTGTCAAAATCCACATGAAGACTCCTCGAAGAAAAGTAGAGCAGATTTACAATTTGATTCAACCATGCCACTCCCTGGTGTATAACTAATGGAATTGGAGTTGGTATACCACCGGAATGCCTACATACCCACATTTACAGGACAGCATACAATGAGCAACATATGGAACCAGCCTAGGTGTGCCCTGAAAGAGGATTGCAGAAAGGAAACACGGCACATATACATAATGGAGTCATTCAGCCATCGAAGAACAGAATGTGTCACTCGCAGAAAAGTGGTGGATCTGGAGTTCACTGTGTTGAGTGAATAAGCTACACTATGGAGGACAAACACCATGTGTTCTCCCTCATATACAGAATCTAAAACAGTGACAACAAAGTAGAAGAGAGACTACTGTTAGACAAGAGGAAGGAAACAGAGGGAAGAAAGGAGGTGTAAGGATGGGTAATGGAGGATATTATAAAGATTTATTATACACATTGAAATCCTTCAAAAATGTGAAACGAGGCAGAGGGTAGGGTAAAGGGTGGGAGCATGGGGAGTGTCTTAGTCACTTTCTGTTCCCCAGGATGCCCAGTCTACAGTTGGCAGGCTCCAGAGGCAAAGAACAAGGGCTCGGTACAGGAGCAGCTAGCCGCTCACCTCACAGCAGCCAAGAACCAAAGAAAGAAAAAAGAGCAGGGCTGGGGAAGGCGACACATTCCATCTAGGCTACACCCCCTGACCTGTCTCTTCCAACCGGGCTCCACCTTCTAACAGCAACTCAGTGATGAAGCCTGCATAATCCAATCATCTTCCATAAGCCCTGGCCTCTGAGACCACAAGGCCTTCAGGGGACATCCAGATAACGATTGTTAACAGGATGGGGATGACTACAGTCTGCAGTGTGCACCTACACATCTGCCAAACTGAAGCCCATTCCTTTGTACAATCATTAAGCACTAATAAAAATGTGGAGAAAATATTCTATAAAGGTCAAATTCATTGGATCTATTGTGTCTTGTTAGAACATTGTGGGTTTTTTCTTTTTGCTATTAACCATTTTGAACATCATTTGGTAAATAAATGCAATAGTGATTCTAGGGATAATTTTCTCCAACACTCTGCACATGCATACACATGCATGTGCGTGTACACACAAACACACACACACACACACAGACACACACCCTCTTACCCAATCTGTATACCAAGAGCTCCCATCCTCATTACAATAAACACAATGAAGGAAACTAGAGTGTCAGATGGGCTCGTAGACCTGAAGGGTCCCAGAGCTCACTGAGCAGCAGTAGTCATGCAAGCGTCTGCAGGAACTGATCCTACTGGGTCTTCACAAGGTCAGTGCGAGGCAGTGGCCTGTAACTTCCACCAGGTTTGTCTTCCAGAAATACAGTTTAAAAAAATTAAACTTCCTAATCATTATCTTTAATACATAATATTTGAGTGTTTAAAACTCAAAGAAAATTATAAGTTATTTCTGTGAGCTTCAGCCACCTCCAAAGATCTAAAAACAACCCCTTCTCCACAGCTGCAGAGATGGAGAGGCCCACGGGACCTGCACAGCAGCTGGCGACTGCTTCCTGACGGCAGGCACAGGTGTCCCTTTGCTAAGGGCAGACGCCAGCAGCAGGCCATGGCAACTTGTATCCAAGGAGCCGACTGCCTATACTTGGGGGCTACTTTTCCACTCCACCCAAACACATCCAGATTCCACTGCTTTGAAGATTAAGCCACAAAACTGTTCTCACAGATGCAAGAAAAAGCTGTTTAGGAAAAAAAAAAAATCTCACAGTAATCTAATTTCATACGGGCATATTTTTTATATGCCTATTCATTTGACAACCTGAGAGAAAATAACAGGGATTCAGTACTTCCATTAAACTATTCTACTATTCAGTCCTAATGCCAATTGTATTACCTTTAAATTCAGTTTTATGAATGCTTTAATTATACAGTGCTATAACGGTAAGATTCTAATTTTTTTTTTTTTTAATTTTATGTACTTGATACAGGGTCTCGCTAGGCAGCTCAGACTTGCAGTGATCTTCCTGTCTCAGCCTCCCCAGCGATGGGATCAGAGGTATGCAACACCACACCTGGCCTGGTTGGCTGACTCAGCATGCCTGGGGTTCAGGGGTCAGTATGGAAAGAGGTACCAGGCATTGAACCCGGGTCCTTGTGCTTGCCAGGCAGGAGCTTAGACCATTGAGCTGTCTTGCAGCCCCTAAATGTATTTTTATGAAGTTGAGATCCACAAATTTAGAATAGTGACTTCTCAGAGACCACTTAAGAATATACTGAAACTAAAGATTCTCAGACCCTACAGCTCAGCTGAGGTCTATTCCACTTGCCTGCATAGGTGTTGGCCTTATTCAGGAGGTCTGTACATGCGTGCATGTCGGCAAAGGCCCGGATTCCTAAACAGTTGACAGGGTGAAGCTGGGATTCCAAAAATTCACAGCAAGTCTTCTTCACATCCTGTAATTGTAATAGACCAGCTGCTGGCAGAAGTACCTGCAACACACAAGTGAATGTGCTTAGGCAACTGGCTGGGGAACACACTGTCTCTGTGTACTCCGTCACCTACGGCACAAGAGATCGAGCCACAGCCTGTGGTCTGCATCCACACCCAGACACTCCACAGCAAGTGGAACGATGGCGACTCTTCACATTCTCTTGATTTCCATGGAATCCTTCAAAGGTCTTCTCAGTTATAAGAATATAAGAGATGTCACACTGTACTCTATTAATTTGGATTGGTGAACATAAAACATTTCTCAGAGTTTTAAAAACACAAATTATGCATTAGGATGCTTGGTTTTGTTCCCCTGAGTACTAGCAGTCCACAGCTTCAAGGATTTGTGGTGAGGGATGAGACCAGAGTAAAAGAAAACCTCAACAAAGTCATGTTTTGCAGACTGCCTGTTATACTGGCTGGAAACTGCCTGCCTTAGTGGGCAGAATAACTTAAAGTTGGACATGAGTATCTACAAGCAAACAATTTCTCTAGAATGCAATGCATGTGCAAAAAAAAAAAAAAGGAAAGGATAAACTATTAATTGCCTAATTTTTAAGTTGGTATTTATATTTAGTAACTCCATGTGATTTTATATTAATTATAGATTGTGCTATGGGATTTAATCATTATCTTCACTATAATCACTACATCCATCCAATACTGCAATTCTTTTTCAAATATGTCAACAATGGAAACATTGTTTCTGGTTTTTTTTTTGTTTGTTTTTTTTTTTTGCGGAACTTCGGATTGAACTCAGGTCCTTGCGCTTGCCAGGGAAGCGCTTCTTCCACTGAGCCATCTCCCTGGCCCCAGAAACACTGTTTCTTGTAAGTGAATTGGAGCAATACTATGTTAAGTGCTATATTTGAAAATCAGTATTTCCTGCTCTGTCATAAAAGAGAAAAAAAAAATCAACTACTAGAACAATTTTATTTAAGATTATACTGACATAAAAATAAACCCGTCTAAGTTCCTTTAGGAATTACTTTATTATATACCATACTGCAACCCAAAGAATGTAGCTGGAAAAAATAACAAATTTTCTAAAAACAACTTTCCTAAGTCGACATAGTAATACCTAGATTTGGAAAACAAAGTGCCCCTTTTTTTCCATGTCATAAACTACCACTGTTTGCTGAAACGAAGCGTTGAAGTTTCCACTCCAGGATCTAGGAGCTGTGTGTATTGTGTACACGGTACACACAATCAAAGAGCTATAAACTAATTAAAGAGTAAGAAGGTGATTTTTTTGGTTTTAGCCCAACTCCTGAACTACTGTTAGTCTTCTCTGAGAATATTATCTAGACCTTCTGAATGTAAGAAAGATAAAGTCTAACTAACGTGTTTATAGCCAAATCTTTTACATAATATAGAACAGTTTCTTATGAGAATGAGTCTCAGGAAGGTTTTAATTTGTTGATAATTTTCAAGTTGGAGGTTTTACAACACTGTTATACTCATGCTCTGAAGCAACATAATGCACATTCCAAGATGCTTAGCAGCACAATCATTTAATTGAACAGACATCACAGAGTTAGAAAGTGGTCTTTGGTGTAGTATTTAGTCTCTCTGAAATTTACACAAATAGAAATGATCATGCATCTAATCAGCATTTTCCCAGAGACAACATGGCACAGTTCAGTAATCAAATTGCTTGGTAACACAGAAACATGGGGAGGAAAAAGTAGTTTAGCAGAAACAATCCTGCTCCTACATAGTTGGCAGGAGTGTACACTGGGTTAACTTCCAGGAAAAAACAATTTGTTCATTTCAATCGAAATTACAAATGTAGTACCTATCCTCTGACTCTGCAATTTAACCTACTCATAAGCTAATATACACACAAAATCTCATATATACATAATTATTCATTATAGCATTATTGTTATCTCTAAACAGTTTTTCAGGTCATTTTTTGAAAGCGTGCATCATGAAACTAACTAAATAAATATAACCATCCACTCAGTGGAATACTCTGCAGGCATTCAGAAGAAAGCAGAATACACACTTACACAGCTACCACCTAAAGCAGCCGCCAGCACAGCTCCACTTTGGTTTACTGACTCCATCACTTCTGTACATCAGCAGTCTGAAGGTCACCAGAGTGGCAGCAAGGTCGCACAGACCTTGCTGGCTACAGCGATGACTTACTGGCTCCACGTTTGGTAGAGACACTGAGTACAAAGGCGAGCACGCGTGTGAGCGCGCACTCACACATCTTTTGGCAGTGAACCCTATAAAATGACTCAGTCTTATGAAATAATCTTGCTAGGACTAAAGAGCATCACTAACTGGTCCTGCTGGCTCATACAATGTCTGGTGACCTCCAGCCATTTGTAATACAAAGAGGAACGCAGTTAGAGCCACACCACCTAGCCTTTGTCATGGATTGAAAGGCCAGTTAAAACAAAGCAAAAGAAACATGCTCTGCTTTCAAACAAACCATGCCCCATGATCTGATCCACTCAGGCAGGGGGGAACTGGGTGTCTGGGAAGGAGGTCAAGTCAAGCCTCCTAATCTGTCTGATGAAGAAGGCAAACGCTACGAGGTTAAGAGGCTTTTTCAAGTTATACGGCAGCTATGGAAAGGTAAGGGCATCACAGAATCAGCCAAATCTTTGGTCTGCGGTTCTAGTATCTTTAGGACTATCTCTAGGTGCAAAACAGAAATGCTTGTATAATTTCGAAACCTGCATACTTTTCATTGGAGTAATAAAGATTCTCACAGTTGCTTCCATTTATTAATTATTTTGTTAGGCACTGGTGCTAAGCATAAGGAATAGTATCTCACTGACCCAATCACAGATAAGTAAATAGCCTTGAAGACACCACAGAACTCGCCTAAGGTCACATACCTGGACCTTATGCAAGGTGTGACCTGATCTCACAGGACAGGCCAAGGTGGCCAAGGTGCAGCGTGCACCAAAAGGGGTGCAAGCACTTCAGAAGGTACACAGCAGAACTCAAGTTACCAGGAACACATTTTAAATGTTATCATCCATTCATTTCAATAATACAAACATTTTCTCATTAGTAAATTTACATAAGCAAAAATTGAGTCAATGTACATAGAGAAAAATACTGAATTTTTAATAGCTTTCCCAGTACAGAATACAAGGAAGTCCCGGAGGTGGTGTACCAATGACTGAAATTTGGAAAATGCTGGTTTGTGAGAACACATTGAACAGTCTGGTCTTTTCATATTGACACCATTCTGGCTCCTGTGGTTTTACGTATCACTGAAAAAGCAGAACAAGCTTACTTGTTTGTTTCTTGAGACAGGGTCTCACTATGTAGTTCAGGCTGCTCTTGAATTCACTGTGTATCCCAAGCTGGCCTTGACCTTACGGCAACCATCCTGCCTGGGCCTCCCAAGTGCTGGGGTGACAGGTGTACACCAACACACCGGGTGCAGAATGTGCTCTCACCTGGTACTGTCACAACCCCATGGCTTATTTTCTACTAAGGCAGATAAACTCCATTACTAGTAAAAAAGTGGAAAACACCTAGCAATATAATGTGCTTGTGCTCATAAAAAATATCTTGGGCATTGTCAGTAAAAATTTCTACAAATTTTATGTCTCTAAAATATTTTTCTGAGCTCCCCGGAGCAAAGGAGCAGCTGAACATCAACTTGGGTGTGGGTACCGGGGACTGAAACAAGGCCTTCACACTGAACTAATTCTAGCTCACTTGCATTATGTATTTATTTTTGAGACAGGTTCTAAGTCACTAAATTGCTCAGGCTGGACTCAACCTGCAGTCTTCTCATCTCAGCCTTCCAGAGCCCAGCTAACAATTGTGCTTTTCATGAAGTAGAATTAAATGTCTAGCCATCCACCAACTGAATAAATGGAGGACTTCCATTGATTTGTGCTTCCTTAGCATTGGCTGTGAGACTGATGAGGATAAGCTGCAGGCACTCAAGAGCCTGACGTGCATTCCAAGCCACAAAAGAAAGAACAGGAATAGTATCTGAGTGTCCACAACATCATCTAAGACCCAAAGGGTGACTGACTCTTGCGCTGATGCATGCAGAGGAAGAGTCACAGTCCCAAAACATCTCTCAGGTTTGTGAGCCTCCAGGAGAAGAGCAGAGCAGGTGAGGGGGGCTTCGCCCTTCCACAGCGTTCCCCTTCGGTCTGCTCCACCATGCCTGAGCCCTTTCCTCCACCCCGAGAGTCCCGCCTGGGTCGGGCCCTTGCCAGTCACTAACAGCACTGCCTCATTTCATTTGCTTCCGGCACACACACTGTGCAGCTGAACCCATCTGCATGCCTCTGTCCCCAAGTTTACTGTCTGGCTCCCTTCTAAGAAATACAAGCTCTGTGACAGTAGGATCACATCTGTTTTACTGCCCTGCTGGATCCTCAGGTGCTAGAACACTCATGGCAAACCGATGGCACGCATGCCACAGTGGGCTGTTTGTAACACTGTATGTTTGCCATCACCATCCTAGAATATCGAGGTACCTCATAAATGAATCAATTTGAATATAAATTGTTACTCCCTCAGGTGCTTGTAAAAGATGTGCAATCTGGATATGCTCTGGGCCCCAATCACTCTATCTCCAGGAATGTATCTACACAGGACACTGCGTGCTCCTTCTGATCTGTTAAGCCCCATGCTAGCCCAAGCAGCCAGTGCAGTGACCAGTCAGCAGCAGACTCTCTCAGCCCTGTGAAGCTAGAACACAGCCCCAGCCCAGCCTCCGCCCCACCTCTGCCTCACTGTCTTCCACCCAGAACCTCAGGATGCACTGGGCACTCACACTGGCATATCCAGACACACCGTGTGACCCACCCTGGGCCACCAGGTCCCTAGAGACATATTTCCTCTTTGATCCCAAGCAGATTAGAGACAGACACTGTTCGTGTGACTCCTCAAAAGATTCTGGTGAGAATCAACATTCAGCACATAGTTATGGCAGGAGCTGTGTCACCCCAGGTACCCTCTCTGCAGTCTGGTTCAAACTCCCTAAGCACTTACTTGCTGC